AAAAATAGCGAGGTCTCTGTTTAACCATTGGCTAAGTGATTTTTTCATCTCCAAAATACAGTTAGAAATATTAGTGTCTTCTCTGCTAATTAGGTTTTTAGATATTATCAGCCCTATATTTTTAATTTTAGATTCAACTCTAACCAAAGCTATTGAGGAGTCAGAGTTTGTATGAATCGGGAGTAGTTCACATTTTTGGATACTGAGAGATACACCAGAAGCTTTAGAGAAAATTTAGTTTTCTCTACCACGTATTTATCTTTCACAAAAATAAATGTATCATCTGCGAATTGACTTATTTCAAAGTCTTCATTAAAAATTGATATTCCTTGTATGTTGTTAGAATTCTTGATTAACAGTTGAGTTGCCAATATAAAAAGCTAAGGGGAAACAAGACATACTTGCCGAATTCCGTGCTGCAACTTGAATCCATTCCTGGATTCAAGGAAGCAAATATATTCTTAAGTAATGTGGCTGCTTCACTTAGGCTACTAGCACAGCCGTCCCCAACCCCCAGGTCCTGGACCTATACCGGTCTGTGAGTTGTTTGGTACCGGGTCGCAAGAGTTGAGGCTCGAGTTTGAAATTTATGGTTTTCAGGGTACTTATCGTTTTTTTATTTTTATATTGTTTATATTGTTAACTCGGTTTCCCTGGGTCTTTTCCCGTGTGTTATGAATAAATCTTTTTTTTGGTACCGATACTGGTTTTATTTTATTGTATTTATCCAAGACACCTTAAAGGCCGGTCCATGACATTATTGTCGGCCATAAATGGTCAGTGGTGCAAAAAAGGTTGGGGACCGCTGCACTAGCAGGTTGCTGAGTAGACATCCTTGTAGTATTTTGGAATTTACCACTTTTTCCATCAGTTTCCTTGTCAGGAAACAACTTCCTGTTCAGCGGAAATGCCTCAGGTTTCAGTGGAGTGCGTGAGAGTGTTTCAGTAATAATGTCCCTCACGGCACCTCATACTTTTCTTTCCAAGCTCCTTAGTCTATTGGATAATGCTGATATTAGTAACAGTGGCAGTTACAAAGATATAATAGAGACAGCAGTCTAAAGAGTAGACAGTTGGTGTTGTAAACCACCAGAGGTCTGAGCATTCCTCTCTGCACTGTACAGCAGGGGTCTCAAACTCGCGGCCCGTGGGCCATTTGAGTTTGAGACCCCTGCTGTACAGCATACACTACGTTAAGTTTGTATTTGAGAGTTTTGTCTTTGAGATGGACCAGTTTTTGTCAGAGTGTGTTGCTGGGTCTGAAGCACACTGGGATGTCGTCCTTGGAGAAGACTGAGTTTTTTGGGTAAACTGGCAACATAGGGGATGACAATGTTGTTGCGTTTGTCATTTTGATCCTCCCTAGTTTGTGTTTGATCTTCTTTTCTGTGCCTCTGGGACTCTCCACCATTTGGCCCTAGAACTGAAGAAGCTTCTCAGATGAGGGGTGTAACGGTCTTTTGTATTCGATGTTTTGGTAAGCTGTATCTCCAGATTTTGTTCTTTTACACCCTCCTCTGGTGGTGAACTGTGTAGGGTACAGTTGGTTGCAGTTTGGGCCTCCACCCAGTCACTCTTTTTGCTAGCGCACATGGTGTCTGCATATTGCAGGTCCCGGATAGCTCCACACATGGAGAAAGTAATGTTTAAAGCTAGAGAAAGAGAGGAAATAAGTGAGAAAGAAGATGGAGAATATGACCATAAAGGACTATTTAGCCCTTCCTGGATTTCAGCTCACGATGTTTGTGTATTTTAAATGTTTTGTTTTCTGTAATTAAGGACTTTTGATTGATTTACACTAAGTACAAGAGCACATATTGATGTCATGTTTTTGTGTTATTGTTTTGTCCGTGAGCAGCTCTCACGGGTTGTCAAGCCCAGAATAAACTCTGTTTTATAACTCTACATCATGCCTACATCAATCCTTGAGGGGCTACAAGGGGTGAAACGACTTAAAGCAACTTAAAGAGTCGAGACGCTTTTCTTTCCAAGCCTTTTAGACTGCTGTTTCCATCATATCTTTGTAACTGCTGCTGTTACTAATATCAGCATTAACCAATAGTCTAAGGAGCTTAGAAAGAAAAGCTTCTTCAGTTCTAAGAGTAATTGGTGGAGAGTCTCAGATTTTAAGCCAATGGGAGTGTCATGGACCTCCTATTGATCCTTTACCTAATCAAGGTGTGAAAACGGGTGTGTGTCACAATCCTGTATCAGTCAAACCTTTGATGACAGACATTGAGGAACACCATTGTCAGTTAAAGCAGCCATTACCCCAATTTGAATCCTTCCCAGTATCCAGATGGTGAAAGAAAAGTCCCATTGTACAGTTTATGAGGAGGAAACTTACTTTCCAGGATATAAACCTTTTTATTTTTGCTTTAAAGTTGTACATTTTAACATTGGAGTCACTTGTTGTTCAGACACTTGTGTTGTGTTTCTCCTGCAGGTCAGGAAGATTATGACAGACTGCGACCCCTCAGCTACCCTCAGACTGACGTCTTCCTTGTTTGTTTCTCTGTCGTATCACCGTCATCTTTCCAGAACGTCACAGAGAAGGTTTGTTTAGCTGGTATCATTTTGTTTGTAATTTGATGGAGATTCAAAATACTGACTTTTAATTTGTTTATAAGACCCAGACAGATAAAACCTGTCTAACCTAGCCGCATGGCATCTACCTTCAGCTATTCTGACCCAGGTATACTGTCTACTCATTGGATTATTTCTTCTCCACACATCAATCAGGTCCATCTTTGTCAAAACATGAGACAAGAAGTTGGAAGACTCGAAATGTGCTTCCTCGCCGGTTCTGTCCAGCGTATAATCAACACAGCAATTCCAGTCTCCACCCAAAATAATACATTCACTGCAATCGATAACACTTAACTTGCCTTCCAACATTTTAAATTGATGTTTC